GGGGGGGGGGCGATAGCAAGGCAAAAGACTTCCAAGAACCCAAAGAACAGGGGTTCGTTCTTGAAAATTCGAAGCTATACGCTCCCCTTGCATCCTAGCATGATGTCAAATGAGCTACGGGAGCAATATTCTTACAATTATTGAATCTATTATCTAAGTCAAAACCATCGGTGACTGTGTCAAAAATGAGAGAGAGAAAGAGAGAGAGAAAGAGAGAGAGAGAGAGAGAGAGAGAGAGAGAGAGACACACAGAGAGAGAGAGAGAGAGAGAGAGAGAGAGAGAGAGGGGGGGGGGGAGATGTGTTTATCAATAAACAAGACGTTATGTAAGCTTTAGCAAAAAAACAAAAACAAAAAAAAACTCATACATGTATTAGGCGAAAAAGATCTAGAATCATGACATATTAGTTATATGTATAAAAAGCACTGATCCTTTTTAAACCTTGAAACGCTACCAGAGTACAAGAATAAACAATTGATTTGAATTATTCCCAGGATATTAATTGTACAACCCGTATTTTCCTGTTTCCCAATCAAATGCGGTGACACTGGGCCGAACGATGGACATTATGAAGCTTTGGGAGTTACGCGCTAAAGATAACAAAAAAAAACCTTAGCGTTGTCATAATTAATATTACAAACTCAGACGGTCATTCACACCGAAGCAATAGAACGTACATGGGTTTGGTATGTATATTTAATACGTCGATGTTTTGTAACACACGGCAAGGTCCAGCGGGGGCTGGGGGGTGGGGGAGGGGGAGGGGGAGGGGCGTAGGACCAACCGAGCTGATTGATATCAAAGATAGTGAATAACAAGATGGGCCACTCAGCCAAAAAAGTGTCCGCAGGAAGTATGCTCTTTGCTTCAGATGGCGCTGCAGTCTGTTTTGAAGCTCTCTTTCGTTTTTCCAGAAGAAGAATAGGAATAGCACCTCCTTGCGTGCGCAGATCGACTGCTGTTCATCAGCAGTTCGGGTACGTTCAGTGCGCAGTTTTATTTTTATTTTATTTTAATGACCTCTCGCCTTTCATTCTAAAGTCAAATTAAACGAAGAAAACCATCACCCTTTCCTCCGGTAGAGGTTTTTTGTCAGCGTAACCATTTTAAAAAAGCGTTCTTCCGAAATTTATCCCCAAACTTGCTAGTTTCACTTTGATTTTTAAAAACTCAAGTAGGGTAACTCTGTTCGCAAAGAGTGCGCTTTTGTGAAGAGGGCGCCACCAAATTTTGAGGACACTTTTTTAATTGGCTCAAAGAGAGAAGTGGCCCATCTTGTTATGTACTATCATTGTTGATATGCAGCATCAGAGCAGACAGACATCGATACTCGATTTATTGTTTTTAAAGAATAAAAGGACAACAAAAAGGAACCAAAGTAAACACCAGCTTTCCGTTTTGGGAATGGCACACTTCTGTGAGTGAGGGCCTGTTTCACAATACCTACCTGTGCTACACCATATGGAATTATGAAATACACATACAAGACACAACAGTGTTACATTCAAACACCTTCAATACTTACTCAGGCGGCTCGACAAAACCATCTCCGAAAAAGTCTTTATCCGACACAGGAGGAGGATGTTCTGTCGAGTAAAACACACATTTCAGTTAATGCAAGACAGGGGATTATCTCCTTTGGGCAGATTCCCAATAGACATAAATATCAATCATACGGATTGTTTGACCCTTTTCGCAAGGCTCAGATAAGAGTGAAAGGTTTCTTTCTCATACTTTCTGTATCTGTCCCCCTCTTTATCCCCCCTTCTCTACCTCTCCCCCCCCCTCTCTCTCTCTCTCTCTCTCTCTCTCTCTCTCTCTCTCCCTTTCTTTCTTTGTAATTTTCGTTCTATCTCTTTCTTTTTTTATCTTTCTCTCTTGCTCTTCTTTCTTTCTCTCTTTTTCATCCCCACCCTCCCTCTCTCTTACTTTATCTCTCTCTCTCTTTCTCTCTCTCACTCTCTCTTTCTCTCAATCATGTCTGTCTCTCTCTCTCTCTCTCTCTCTCTCTCTCTCTCTCTCTG